AGGCTGAAGAGTTATGTGGGGTGTGTCACATGGGTGTGTTTTTATGTCATAGCAGCACCTTCCGTGGTGTGAGCACTGTGGTCATGAAACTTCACACCTTCATCCCTTCCTAGCATGTGACAATAATGGAAGATATCTACGGCCCCTTTCAATTCGTCAAGTTGTAATCACAAGCCTACTCCTGGCCCTTACCTTGTACCATTGGCATGTAGGATACAATTACAATAAACTCATGATGTTTCCAGTGGAAACAAAATGCTATTTCACATTTGAAGATTTTCTTAAAATAAGATGTGGTCTGTGTAGTCAGCTTCAGCGAATGGGTGAGTAGACCTGCTGAAGTGTGTATTGTCAAGACAGATTAAGTATTTTTGTCAAGAGTTACTAAGCGTAAGTATAGTGGTTTGTGTGTGTGTGTGTGTGTGTGTGAGTGTTAAAGGAATTTATCAAGAAAAAAATCAAATGAATGTCTTTTTTTTTTACTGTAATAGAGATATAGCTGAAGACTGCTTGTATATATTGCTATTATTGGCCAAGAAACTAAGTTTTCAGTACTCACTGACAACATTCACACAACCGTCATTCTAGTTAGCAGGGCTGATAGACACAAGTCACTGACACTTGGCCTTAAAAATGAGAAAAACCCTTAATATGGGTCTTAAGAGTTAAGATAATTAAGCCGGTTGGGGTCATTTTTTAAAAAAATTTTCAAGTTTCCATATTAGGCATTCCTTCCATCTTCCCTCACAAATACAATAAACTCGGGGTGATCAGGATTTGAGTGTGGCCTCCATCTTTTTAAAAAATCCTAAATGATGCACAAGAAAGGAATAACTGAACAAAAGCAAGGATATAAAAAGAAAAAGTACATGATTACAACTCGAATGACTAAGTAGTTCCTTTCTTGTAACACTCAGTTCTCATATTCATCAACACACTATCACGAAATCTAAGAGTTCACACATTGCTGGAGACGTTTAAACTGGAAACCCAGTTGAACAGAGTTTAATACTGATAGTAAGGCAATCTGAAATTTTTGTGGTAAAAGCACATCTACCCCCAAAGATGTCAGTGTAAGCTAACATTCTATTGGTTCTCATCAAGCAGTATCAATGGAGTGTCAACTGTGTGTAGTGTCAATGGATGGTTCTCAGACATGGTGCAATCCTGGTACCAATGTACATGCATGGCGGGAAGGAGAGATTCTGAAGCAATTTTATGACCTTGTGAAGCATGTTAAAATGAGATTGAAGCCATGGAGGGTGCCTGAGGAAGTTTTCCTGCACAAGGACTCTTTAAATTGGGGATAGAAATCTGAGAGCCAGTTATCCTGATGAGTGTAAGGAACACCTTGTGTGAAGTTGTAGAGGTGGGGCTCAAATGCGAGGCTAAAGGTGTTAAAATGTAGCTTGCAGGGTCAAAGAATGAGGAAGCAGAGTGGATAAAATAGTCCTATCTTCATTTCTCCCCCTGTAGATCAAAGACTCTCTTTTTGTAGATCTTATTTAAAAATCTAAAATATTCCGATGAGCAACCATTATTTTGAAACTTAAACAGTACATGCCTATTTATCTGTACTTGTAAATCTCACAGAATCCATTATGTTGTGTAAATACAGAGTTTCACACTCATGCACCCAAGGAGACATACATGAAGAGGATGTTTTATTAGTACAGATCCAGTGAATAGCTCAGGACCACTCACTGTTCATTAGAATGGAGGTATTGGGAAATCCTGTTTGTACTGTAGGAAAGCTTCCTAAAGGGGCACAAAGCTGGCTCCTGTGATTCTTTTTAGAATGACCTAAGTCTTCAGAGGAGTTTTGGAGGCGATGAAAAGATGGAGAAAAGACTTCCTCGGGGAGAGGAAGGGCATCGTGGTGGCCCTGTCTTTGAGGTTTGCGAGTCATGACAGCAATTACCACTCAGTGCAAGGTCCTAAGAGTATCTGTTAGCTCCAAGTGCCAGTTCAGCCACAGCCACATGTGATTACGTCTGTATCTGGGCCCATTTGGGAGCAGCAACATACTTCTTCCCAAGAGTTTCTCTAAACCATTCCTAGGTGATTTCATTTCAAGAGCTCAGGAGGCCCAAGGCGCTTAATTCTACGGTCCGTGTTTGTGTTGGTGGGGAACATGCTTGATAATACACCCCTAGATGTAGGAGACATGTCCATATCATGAAGCCATAGGAAATACTTGAGAATCCCTGAGAGAGATGTCAACAGAGTGGATGAAATATTAGTATATGTAGAGGAAGCATTCCTAGTCATCTGAACTCTTTTCCTTTTTTTTGGCACATTGGATCAGAGACATGAGCTACAAATGCTGAAATACCACCACCCTAATCATTCCAGAAAAACAGTAAGATCAGCTGTCTTTTAGTATCTGGAGTTTTAGGCATACTTGTAAGACTTAGTCAGTTTCATACTTTATTACTGGCAGAGAAAGAAGGAGTGAAGCAGAGATTTAGAAAAGAGAATTGCAATTATAAATATAACTGCATATTTAAAGAAATTGGATGAATGAATTGAAATATGATGAATGAATTTTACATCACATTTGTGGGAGGTAAATAAGGAAGAAACCTAGGTTAATTGACATGTAATTATGTATTCCTATTCAAGTATATCTAGCAATATATTTCCAGCAATGAAAAATTGTCAATTACTTTAAAAATCTCATATCTAAGTTATTTTCCTGTGAGTATATACATAATTATTTTTGCTTTCTCAGTAGAAAGAGTTTAAATGTAATAAGGTTAAATTGCCAATGGTGAAGCTTTCAGATTAAGACTAGAAAGAGAATTAGGATTGCCAGAATCTCATGCCAGATTGCTTCAATTTAAACTTTAATGAAAAGTCATTAAAGCAAGGAAATGAAACTGTAAAAATATACCATAGTTCCAAGCATAAAGAGGGCGAGAAGCCGGGTGCTGGTGGCCCACACCTCTAATCCTAGCTACTCAGGAGGCTGAGATCTGAGGATCATGGTTCAAAGCCAGCCTGGGCAGGAGAGACCATGAGACTCCTATCTCCAATAAACCACCAGAAAACCGGAAGTGGCGCTGTAGCTCAAGTGGTAGAGCGCTCGCCTTGAGCTGAAGATCTGAGGGACAGTGCCCAGGCCCAGAGTTCAAGCCCCATGACTGACAAAAAAAAAAAAAGAGGGTGAGAATTTGCACCTTGAACCATGATTAAGTAAACTACAAAAGGTAGATTTCAAAAGTATTAATGTTTGAGAAATTGGTTCTCAATATTTCACTTCAAATGATGTGAAGACAACCAGATGGGTAGTGAAAGAAGATAACAAGCCCATAAAGAACGGCTAGTAGTCTTTTCAAAGTGTGGACTTGTTTTTGATATGCCACCATCTATGTGACCCTGGAATTCTCCAGGCCCAAATGTTAGGATGATGTAAATCCTCTTATCCATCATGGATGTAACCTGTGTGTGCAACAATCAACTATGTGGACATAGATCCTATGAGTCTTTCTTGAAAGGATAGAATAATTGACACAGACAACTCTACCATATACAGGTAAGACTCTGATTTATTCTGACCATCAGGAAAAGAATATATGTAGTTTGGACATCTTATCTTCTTGTGTTGTGCTTCAGTATTGAGGAGAGAATTGATCCCAGCTGAGACTGTAGAGGAGTCCCCTCAAGAGGCCAAACATGACAAAGATCAATGGAGTGGTACAGAAGATAATGCACAAACATATTTCCTCAGGAATTTTTTTTGGCAATTCATCCTTTAGATACAGGGCATCACCAAATGCATCATCTCCGTAGCCTGGGGAATGTGCTCCACCTTAAGCCTCACCATGTTGGAGCTGTAGGAAGGTATCCATTTGTGCACTCTTTATATTGACATGAATAACAGACATGATCTTTTTTGTTGAAATATCCGTGGAAGATGAGAAACAGAGAAATCCTTTTGTACTGTGCATACCTGCTGGGTTTCACTCACTTATATACCGGATAAAGAGCAAACGCAATTTGTTGTCACAGCCAACAATGAGATGAAGAAAATAATTTCAGATAGCTGTAAAAGTACAATACACTCAATGCTGTAGGGTAGGAAATGTGACAATGAAGACTACAAAGAGAAGTGATAACCAAGCACCATGTCTTGGCTCCTTTTTTCTTTGGAAAGGTGAGTGAAGTGTTCCCTGTAGAGTGCCAAGGGAAAGCAAGTGCAGTTAAATACGGTGAACACATAACTCAGGCAGGAGCATCAGAAGACTTCAGAATGTGAGCCTGCTGTATTTATAGTACGAGAGGAGTGGTCACTTCTCTCCATGTTTGACCGAGTGGCCTGTTGGTCAGGTCTCATCTTTTTTTTCCCCTGATGAGAAATTATTCTTATTTCTACCAGGGGAGGGATACGGGACCATGCAGCAAGATAAAAGGCACGACATGTTGGAAAGTCCTGTAGTAATTTGAAAATCTGTTCTTTCCTCTGAGTTACTCTGCACTGTTATAGGAAGCGTGGCCCCAAGGCCAATCCTATCAACTATTCAGGTTGATCTAAAATGGAACAGACCAGTTGAGTGGTGCTCAGTGCTCTGATTCTAAAATAGAAGACAGCAGCCATAAATATCACGAGATTGCTGTCTGAGAATTTGCCTTTAGAGTGTTTAAGTTGGCTTTTCCTGTTGAATTTCTTGTTATTCCATTGATCATGAAGAGAGCAAATGGTAACTTAAGATAGGTTCTGTGTCTACTTGTGTAGACTACACATCCTGGTGTAGCTAGGTGTGGAGAGGTGGTGTGAACTCACTTCTAATTCATCACTTACACATTCATGTGCTTATGAAGACACTGGGCCTCCAAAACAGTGGACTTGAAAAGTATGAGGGGATTCAATCTGCAATTGTGGTCTCATGAATGATCAAGAGGAGAACTGACATTTGCATGCAGAATATACTCCTAAAGAGTTGTTAAATTACATCTGATTATTTCTTGCTGCAGATTAATAACACTCACATATTTTAATGGAAGCAGTTAACGGGACGTGGGTGAGTGGGTTTGTCCTCCTCGGCCTCTCCAGCGATCGGGACACTCAAGTCTCCCTCTTCGTCCTGTTCTTGGCCATGTACGTGGTCACAGTGCTGGGGAACGTTCTCATCGTTCTTCTGATCAGACTGGACAGCCGCCTGCACACTCCCATGTACTTCTTTCTCACCCACCTCTCCCTGGTGGACGTGTCCTATGCCACAAGCATAGTTCCTCAGCTGCTGGCGCATCTCCTTGCAGAGCATAAGGTGATCCCATTCCTGAGCTGTGCAGCCCAGTTGTTTTTCTCCCTGGCCTTGGGTGGTATTGAGTTTGTTCTGCTGGCAGTGATGGCTTATGACCGCTATGTGGCGGTGTGTGACCCGCTGAGGTACTCTGCCATCATGCATGGGGGACTGTGCACTAGGCTGGCCATCTCCTCCTGGGTCAGCGGCTCCATCAACTCTCTCATCCACACTTCCATCGCCTTTCAGCTGCCCATGTGCACACACAAGTCTATTGACCACATATCCTGTGAAATTCTAGCTGTGGTCAGGCTGGCCTGTGTGGATACCTCCTCCAACGAGGTTGCCATCATGGTTTCCAGCATCGTCCTTCTGATGACCCCCTTCTTCCTGGTTCTGCTCTCCTACATCCAGATCATCTCCAGCATCCTAAAGATGCAGTCTGCAGAGGGCCGGCGGAAAGCCTTCCACACCTGTGGCTCTCACCTGACGGTGGTGGTCCTGTGCTACGGCATGGCCATTTTCACCTACATCCAGCCCCACTCCAGCCCCTCTGTCCTGCAGGAGAAGTTGATCTCTCTCTTCTATGCCATTTTGACCCCCATGCTCAACCCCATGATTTATAGCCTAAGGAATAAGGAGGTGAAGGGGGCCTGGCAGAAACTCCTAGGACAGTTCTCTGGGCTAACATCAAAAATGGTAATTGGATGACTCCAGAGCAGCACTTGGATTAAATGAATTTGCCTCTGCGTTCTCCCCAACTTAGACATGACAGGCATGATCTGCAGTTCCCTGGCAACCAGAAACGAGGTGATACAACGTGTACTGATGTTATTACACAAGACTGTGAATCATTTGTTTGGATATCCACTTAGAACATTGAAGTTTAATATCTAAAAATCCTACAAAGTCTTTGAATTGTTGGAGAAAATAAGCAGAAAAAAATGAGATAATATGGAATACATAAGAAGACCCCAAGAAAGTACTGACTTCCCAGGCAGATTTAATGTAAAATAAGGTAATTTAAATATGAGTTATATAAAGTCTTGGGAATTCAATTGACTGTATTAATGTAAATCCTTGATTTTTGCATTAAGTATTTCTTCTATATTCACACACACACACACACACACGCGCGCGCGCGCGCGTGCTAAGCTTTTAGTGTGCTTGTTAAGGGTGTGGAATGCATCTTTAATCAAAAGCTTAAATTATACAAGTAGAAAAAAATAATTGAGCCAAGAATAAAAAATTACAAAGAAGAGACTCTATATGATTACAGCTGGCATTTTTCACTTGGCGGGCTGTAGCTATTTCTTCCTTACACTTTAGTTCATTTGACTTTCAATTATTAAATATTTCAAGGAACTATCACAAAGCATCAGGTGCCTACACAGTTGTAGCTTTATATTACCCAAAGCCTATTTTGTATTTGAGTGCTGTCTTAACCCTGCAACATAGCAGGCCTCTCCTAAGATGTTAATGTAACCCAACTTTCTCTTGGTTCTAATCAAGCGACCCCAGTGGACTGTCAAGTGTGTGTCCGTGTCAATAAATGGTTCTTGGGCACTATTGTCTATGGGGCCATTCTGATAACAATGCACTTACATGGCGGGAATGTCAACTGGTGAGGTAATTATAATGTGCTGTGAGACATGTTAGAGGGAGCCCATTGAGAGTGATTACAGAATATTCCCTGTTCAAGGACCCTGAGATTGAGAAAGAAATGTGAGAGCCAGCTATTCCGAGGACGCCCCAATTAAGAAACAACTTGTATAAACTTGTAGCGATGAGGGGAGTATGTCAGGGCACAGATGCTGTGAATCCAAGTCTAAGGTATAAAGAGAGGAGACAAAGCAGGTGGTCAGATATCCTAGAGATCATTGAATGCCAAATTATTTTAAACTCTATTCTGAGAGCCATGGAGAGCCAGTAAATATTTTTGGCAGAAATATGGTTTGGAAAAAGTGTCAGTTTTGAAATATCACCCTAACAAATGAAGTAATAGTAGAAAAGATTACAGGCCAGGTCTTTGTCAAATGGGTCAATCCTAATACTGAGAGACTAAGGAAATCTGCAGCAGTGGTAGAGAGAAATATCCATCATGGCATTTAAAAGACAAAAAACCTCCTCTGTCTCCTAGATTGGAACTCTGATGCGGCTCTCATTCATCTTCTAAAATATTCTATATGAATATTCGGTAAATTAATGCTAAACTGGAAAATTCCTCATGAGTACATCATGTAAACAAAGGTAGGAGGAGGAGCTAAAAGGAGAAAGTTAGCTACAAATGCACATAAACCTCTGTCACCAAGGAGGACCACATGTGGACATGTTGTGTTCTCACTTCTGCAAGTGGCCCTGTGGGTGACATTTTCTCCCTACACTATTGCATGATCTGTTCTCCCTCACAGAGATCTTCAGCCTATTTGGGGTCTTTAGCTGAATATTGTTTATATCTTCTGAAATGTTGAGTGTGGTTATTGGATTCATAGTAACAGACTAAAGGTTCATATGTCATCTGTTGAATTTCTGTTTCTATCCCTTTTATTTTATAGGCTTTTTATTGGGACTGAAGTTTCACAAGTTACATTCTCTGTAAATTAAGTTACTTGGGATTCTAGCAATTCCTATTCAAAATAAGGAAAGTATTTTTGTTGCAAGGACAAAATAAGGTGGTTTCTAGATGGATAAAGTTATTTAGTAGAACTATTTAAGAAAGTTTGGCACTGAAAGTTATTTAAAAATAAATTCTTGTTCAGTAATTAACAACTGTAAAAGTATTACTGGAGATTATTGTAAAACATTTTGAAAATAACTTTTTAAAAAAAGCCTTATACATTTAAGAATCAACTTGTCAAAATAAAAAAAGAAAAATCCCTATCAGACACATATAAAGGCAATTATCTACTGTGTTTTTGAAAATCCTTTAAAATTATAGTTTTTCAACTGTCATGCCTTCACTTTGGAATAATTTTCAAAATAGAGTCTTATTCTATTTGTCAGTTGGGTTTCCTATCCACTTTGATTACTTTGATGATATTTCGAGAATGTAATTTTATATTCTTTTGTCTCTGTATCTCCTACTAAATCCAGAAGTTTGGTCAAATTTAAGTTTACTTTTCTTCTGGGACTTAGAATTTCATAGGATTCATAGAATTTCTAGCAGATATTCATATTACTTCTTTTTTTCTTTTCACAATTTTTTTCCATTTTCTTTGATTACCTTTTACATTTAAGCAAAAAAGGTTATTGGCATTTTTCTAAGCTTCTTGTTATAGTAAGTAGTACATGTTTCATATTATATTTATTTATTGGGATATTTGAATAAATGAATATAGTGATTTTTACAAATTTTATCTTATTGTAAAGGTGCTGTACAGAGGGGTTATAGTTACATGAGTAAGGTATTGAGTACGTTTCTTGTTGAGCATTGTTACCCCTCATATTACTTCTTGAAGCGTAGAACAAGAAAGGTTTCCACATTTTGAAAGGCACATGATTGCATGATTCTCATGAAAATGAAAAAGCTAATATTAGAGAGGAAATCAGTACTGCTAATGGAAAGAGTGGATCTGAGAGATGTTTCAGAGAGCAGTTGAATTATAGAGATTGAAGCGATCAAATCAAGAATGCTTTTGCCAATGTTTTGAGTAAGTGACACAGAATACTATAGCTAGAGTATAAATTTGTCTTTGCTTTCAACAGATTAGCAAAGAAAAATAGTAATATAAACATCTGGATACCTGACTAAAGACTACACCATAGTGAAATTCGACATAACAACAACAAAATAAAAGTCCAACTTCTTCTTTCAATTCTGTAGGAGTACTGAACACAAATTGGTATAAAGAATGGGAAAACTATCTAGTGTCCTTCCCAAATACCTAGGATATTTCAGAAACTTTGCCAAAACCACTGGTCACACTGTAAGCCTTGTAATATGACTGAATAAATTAATAGGAAGTTAATACATGTTGTACTGGAGAATACAGATGACTAATGGACAATTGACAGACATTAGCTGAATAGCTGAACTGTCATTTGAATGACAAATGCAACAAAGAATGGGGAATAATAAGCAAGTGAGAAATGGAAGAGAGAGTTGGGATGCTGATAGACAATCAGATAACTGAGAAGATTCATAGGTACTGGTGTAGACGAATTACTGAGCATGGACCTAGAAGGATAAATAAACAAGAGGATGCATGATTCACTTTATTTATTTGTTTATTTATTTATTTAATTGTGAAAATACCGTACAGAGGGGTTACAATTACATGGGCAAGATAATGAGTACATTTCTTATCGAGCATTGTAGCCTCCTTCTTTGTTTCCCCTTCCCATCCCATCCTCCCCCCCCATCCACCCAACCCTCCTCCCCCGCTCACTTTAGAATTTATGAAACATAAAGAAAATGCTAGCAAATGGTAGCATGATTCTGTACTTTCAAAATTACATCCATTCTTTTTTCTATTTAAAAATGAGAGAATCTGTTTTCCTGACCCATGAAGCCATTGCCGTTCTGATTAGCTCTGTGTGAACCCATCAGAGAGCATCACTGAACCTTGCGCCAGGAGTTTATCTAAACTAGTCCCAGGTGATTTCATTCATGGAACCCAGGAGGCACAAGACAATCTCTATGGTGCATGCTTGTTGGTACACTTTTGGTATTACAATCGTAGACGAAAGGAGACGTCCTTATCACCAGGCAATGAGGACTATCTGAGAAATCTTAAGGGAGATGTGACCGAAGGTGGGTGCAACATGAGTGTATGCTGGAGCAGCATTCCTAGATATCTGATTTTTTTTCAGGGATTTTGAATCTAAGATATGAGCTATGAGTGCTGAAATACCACACGAATAAGTGTGCCAGAAAAAAATGCAGGTAGATCATGTGCTTTCTAATAGCATAGGTCTTAGGTATAGTCATACAGTATGAAAGGTAGATCATGTGCTTTCTAATAGCGTAGGTCTTAGATATAGTCATATAGTATGAATTTGACAGTTTGGACTTTAGTATTGTCAGAGAAAGAGTGAAACAGCCTGGGCAGAGAGGATTATAATTAATTAAGCCTTGGAAATTCAATTTATAAATTCAGTATCATATTTAGGAAGACACACAGAAGAGAAGCCTAGGTTAAAAAAATTAAGAATTGGGGCTGGGAAGGTGGCTTAGTGGTAGAGCGCTTGCCTTGCATGCTTGAGGCCCTGGGTTTGATTCCTCAGCACCACATAAGCAGAAAAAAAATTAAGAATTGATATTCATGAATAGGTAGCAGGAATATATTTCCAGGGAAGAAAGTTTAAATCATTTGTCTGTGTGTGTGTGTGTATGTGTGTGTGTGTGTGTATATATATATATATATATATATATATATAATTATTCTCACTTTGTTCCCAAAAGAAATAGTTTATGTATATGATGTTTAAAATAGTTAAGGCATGAAACATCTGGATTAAGAACTAGATGAGAAATTGAGGTCTCCCGTCTCTCGCGTCAGAGTTGGTTCATCCTGAACAACCTGTGTGAAACCTTGGAGGAGAAAAAAATTAAACTATAATTGTGCCATAGATATATGGGGCAGGAAATATAAAATAGTCAAGAAATTGTGCATTGAACCCACAAATAAATACATCATCAAATGTGAATTTTCAAATAATAATTCTGAAAAATTAGGTATCAATATTTGACCTCAAATTATGTCACAAGCCAATCAACCAGATGCAAAGTGAAAGAAGATAACAAATACCTAAAGGACTGCTAGCTGTCTTATTGTTTTTGATATAAACCAGACTATGTGACCCTGGAATTCTCTAGGCCCAAATGTTAGGATGATGGAAATCCTGTTATCCATCATGGATGCAACCTGTGTGTGCAACAATCAACTATGTGGACATAGATCCTATGAGTCTTTCTTGCAAGGATAGAATAATTGACACAGACAACTCTACCATATACAGGTAAGACTCTGATTTATTCTGACCATCAGGAAAAGAATATATGTAGTTTGGACATCTTATCTTCTTGTGTTGTGCTTCAGTATTGAGGAGAGAATTGATCCCAGCTGAGACTGTAGAGGAGTCCCCTCAGGAGGCCAAACATGATAAAGACTCAATGGAGTGGAGCAGAAGATAATGCACAAATATATTTCCTCAGGAAAAATCTTTGGCAATTCATCCTTCAGGTATATGGCATCACCAACATAACTATAGGCAATGCATCATCTCCATAGCCTGAGTAATGTGCTCCACCTTAAGCCTCACCATGTTGGGGCTGTTGGAACTCTTTTCACTGTCTTTAATAGTGGAAATGATGAAGCTGATACAATAATTCATATAATAATTTGAATACTTCATGTAAACCTCCAATTTAGTATTATTTCACTTGTAGTCCTTTTAGACAAAGAACGTTGCTCAAAATAAACATGTATTTCAGGCATGAGTGACAGAGCTTAATAAACTCTAGCTGTGTCAGAGAGATGATATTTAAATTGTATCACACTTAACCACATACTATGTTTTACTTACCAGGATCACAATAATTAGCCTATGCTCACTACAATCCATAGAACAAAGAAGTAGCTCCTCCACATGTCTGCAAAGATGAACAATAGAAATATATCACATTTGAATGCTGTATTTTGAACAGACAATATGTATCATTTGTTAATAAACAAATACTAAGATCATGTGTAGAGAGGTGTACTTTGAACTCAGTTGAATAGGAGGAAGATGCAATGCAGAGAAAGTGAAATAAGATCCCATGGTTTATGAAGGGATCTAGGAAATGTGTGAAGCTGTTCGAGTTGTATAAATACCAGAATCCCAAGTCAACCTTGTATGGGAAGATGAGCTACACAGCGCTGGCTTTTAGTGGTTCAACAAGTCTTTTGAATATAAACTGTAGTCCTTTTTAAATCTTGCTTGTGCAGATCCAACTTTCCCTAAGTTATTTGACTTCAATAAAGAATGGAGTTTTAGAGCGAGCTGTAAACCCACAAGTTAATTAGAGCCAAAAAAAAACCCCAAACCAATCAACCTCTAGTTTCCTGATAAGAAAAGTTAGACCTGAAGAATAAATAGTTTATATAACTGGTTTATCTATCATCAAATAAGAATCAAAACCCAACTATATATATACTGGAAGGGGAACCCAGTATTATTTAGAAATAATACTTAAATATTTGTTTTCAAATCAAGACAAATACTCTTGTAAACCTATAAGTAGCAATCTCAGTTGTAAAATGTGATTAACCAATATCAGTGAAAGGTATTTCTGTACCATCTATCTCAGTAAAATATTTCACATGCAAGTGTCTACGTATTTCTATATCACCATCTGTAATTCTAAAATAAAATTTAATAGGAAAGCAGCAGATTATGAATTTTGTGAAAAATATTTTCTCAAGATAAACTCATAAACACAGCTATGAACCTGAACATGAAGTAGGTAAATCTGAATTTTGTGTAAGATCATATTTCGATAAAGGCAACCGTGAAGTGAGTAGAAGTTGTGATAGTTTTTTTCTTTCAGATCAGAGATCCTTGTCTGACCAAGAGCCTCTTCCTGCAATGTCTCCTGTCTCTTTTTTCTACCATTTCCCTTCTTTTGCATACTCCTTTAGTCCATAATAATACAAGAGTGAGCCTAAGAATGAATCAGTCCTGGAATATTTTTAAAATGCTAGCCTGTTTTGGACTGATACCTAAATTCCATATATGTTATCATGGCTTTCCTGAAAAACTGTTTGCTGAGCAAAATAAATGAGAAGGGAATTTCCATTCCAGTGCCCACTTCTAATTCTCTGCCTGGTCAATGAAGATCGATTTTCAAACACCAGCTTTCATCTCATGCTTTTATATAAGATATCCTCTTGCTTGCTTTCTTTTATTTCAAAGACTAGATCTCTTACAGAAGCAAGTAGAAGAGATAAAACCAGTGAAAAGTGGATTCCCTTATGATGTTCCCCCTTAGGCCACCCAAGACAGAAAAACAAAATCTATCTCAAAGACAAGCGGTTGCTGTTAAAAGTAGCCAACTTATATATGTCTATGTTTGTGAAGGAAAGAGAAGGAAAGTCACATTTGATTCTTTTTTTTTTTTTGCCAGTCCTGAGGCTTGAACTCAGGGCCTGGGTGCTGTCCCTGAGCATCTTTTGTTCAAGGTGAGTACTCTACCATTTGAGCTACAGCAGTACTTCTGCCTTTTTCTGTTTATGTGGTACTGAGGAATTGAACCCAGGACTTTGTGCATACTAGATAAGCACTCTACCAATAAGCCACATTCCCAGCCCACATTTGATTCTTTATCACCAAACCAGGGACATATTCCTATAAACACACACAATACTGTAGTTCACTCTCAATGCACAAGCAGTTTCCCCTTTAACTATTTACATTAGAACTTTCATTTAGTTATGAGTTATTGAATGGGAGCCTGTACTCTATAATAGCTTATCCTTAAAACAGAAATTGCATACTCGCTAACTAAACTCAGGTTTCAAAACGAAGTTTGCTGTTGATCTTTCCACAAACACCTGATCTTCCTAAACCTTTTTTTCCCTAATGTACTGCATCTAGTTGGCATATTTGAGATAGGTTTTGAACTTTCCACTCCCTGTCTTCTCATCATTTGTCCTTTTGTCTACCATCATCCACTACGGTTCTCTCCTTGATCAAGAATAAAGGTGATGGAGAAGCTGCAGAATGATTACAACTTCCTGCGTTAGTTTCAGGCTGTAGGGGACCCTGCGCTTGACCCCAAGAATTACATGGTATCCTTGTGAAGGCACTAGCCTGTTGCTGAAGAACAAGGACATAAAAAGCCTGTGAGGATCCTGGACTGGTGAATGATTTAACACTGAACATGGGACTGGCAAGCCCTTGAATGCATATTCTTAAAAAAATACTCTTGGCCTATTCAATTTCTTCTGTTTTATTTTTTTCTTCTGACTTCCTCTGCAAATTAATAGTCTTCAAAGTTTTAGCAGGTAACGGGACGTGGGTGAGTGGGTTTGTCCTCCTCGACCTCTCCAGCGATCGGGACACTCAAGTCTCCCTCTTCGTCCTGTTCTTGGCCATGTACGTGGTCACAGTGCTGGGGAACGTTCTCATCGTTCTTCTGATCAGACTGGACAGCCGCCTGCACACTCCCATGTACTTCTTTCTCACCCACCTCTCCCTGGTGGACGTGTCCTATGCCACAAGCATAGTTCCTCAGCTGCTGGCGCATCTCCTTGCAGAGCATAAGGTGATCCCATTCCTGAGCTGTGCAGCCCAGTTGTTTTTCTCCCTGGCCTTGGGTGGTATTGAGTTTGTTCTGCTGGCAGTGATGGCTTATGACCGCTATGTGGCGGTGTGTGACCCGCTGAGGTACTCTGCCATCATGCATGGGGGACTGTGCACTAGGCTGGCCATCTCCTCCTGGGTCAGCGGCTCCATCAACTCTCTCATCCACACTTCCATCGCCTTTCAGCTGCCCATGTGCACACACAAGTCTATTGACCACATATCCTGTGAAATTCTAGCTGTGGTCAGGCTGGCCTGTGTGGATACCTCCTCCAACGAGGTTGCCATCATGGTTTCCAGCATCGTCCTTCTGATGACCCCCTTCTTCCTGGTTCTGCTCTCCTACATCCAGATCATCTCCAGCATCCTAAAGATGCAGTCTGCAGAGGGCCGGCGGAAAGCCTTCCACACCTGTGGCTCTCACCTGACGGTGGTGGTCCTGTGCTACGGCATGGCCATTTTCACCTACATCCAGCCCCACTCCAGCCCTTCTGTCCTTCAGGAGAAGTTGATCTCTCTCTTCTATGCCATTTTGACCCCCATGCTCAACCCCATGATTTATAGCCTAAGGAACAAGAGGTGAAGGGGATCTGGCAGAAACTATTCGGGCCATTGTCTGGATTCACCACAAACCTGACACTTGGGTGGCTTAGGAGCACCATTTGGAAGATGGAGTTTTGCCTCTTGTTCTCCACCAAGCTCAGACATGACAGTTGTGAGCCACCTTACCCCGGTAATCAGGAACGTTGGGAGGAGGCTCAGTGGTTGGGGGTGTGGCATGGGGTATGTTTTTATGTCCCATTAACATGTTCACAATAGTTAAACCCCACTGTCCTAGAACTTTCCACAATTACTTAGTTCTACAGCTGGAATCCAAAGATAGTTTGCTTCATGATGATGGTTCAAACCACAATTTCCTAATTTTGCAATATTTCTCTTTTTTTTTCTGCTTTCAAAAATGTGTCTCTGCACTCTGAAAACATTACAGGATGGAATAGGAGGCACCCTAGGTCTCCTTGGCACAGGCCAAAATTTTCTTAATAGAGATCCAGAAACACAACAAATCAAAGAAAGATTGGACCAATGGGATTGCATGAAATTGCAGAGCTTCTGCATGGCAAAGGACATAACTAGCAAGATCAATAGAAAGCCTACGGACTGGGAGAAGATCTTCACTAGCCATACAATGGACAAGGGTCTCATGTTTAAAATATACTTAGAACTCAAAAAATTAAATCCCCTCAAAACAAATCTTCAAAGAAACAACTGCCCAATAAATAAGTGGGCTAAAGACTTAAAGAGAAACTTCTCTGAAGAGGAAAGAAGGATGGCTAATAGACACATGAAGAAATGCTCAACCTCTCTAGCCATAAAAGAAATGCAAATCAAAACAACACTGAGATACTACCTCACCCCAGTTAGAATGGCTATAATCAAGAACTCTAATAACAACAGATGCTGGAGGGGATGTGGACAGAAGGTAACCTTACTGCATTGTTGGTGGGAGTGTAAACTTGTTCAACCACTTTGGAAAGCAGTATGGAGGTTCCTCAAAAGACTCCACATAGAGCTCTCCTATGACCCAGCATTCCCACTTTTGGGCATTTACACGAATGATCACAAACAAGACCACACTAAAACTACCAGCACGACCATGTTTATTGAGCATTATTTACCATAGCTAAGATATGGAACCAACCCAGATGCCCCTCAGTAGATGAATGGATCAAGAAAATGTGGTATATATACACAATGGAATTCTATGCCTCCATCAGAAAGAATGACATTGCCCCATTTGTTAGGAAATGGAAAGACTTAGAAAAAATTATATTAAGTGAAGTAAGCCAGGCCCAAAGAAACATAGGTCCCATGGTTTCCCTTATTTGCAAAAACTGGTAGATGTCTGAGTCAAGCAGAAAAGGTCAGATAAGTTGATGTTAGGGGAATAAACCCCAAGATAAGTATTCAAATGTTTTTTTTCTTTCATGCAATTGTTTCTAACATATTTATAAGATGATTTCTATGTTGCTTTGTATGTCCCTCCCACACAGTATAACCCCTGCTTTCACTGTATTTGATATTGGTATAATTTGTGGAGGGGAAGGGAAAAAATGAATCGTTTAACTAGGGATACAGGTGGACCCATTGCAACAATGAGTTGTACAAGTTGTTATGTCGAAAAACAAACTTTACAACTTTGGCAGGGGTTGGGAGGAGGTTCGGGAAGGGGAAGAGGGGGAGTATGGGAATGGATGGGAAGGGGAAACAAAGAGGAGGAAACAATGCTTGATAAGAAATGTACTCGTTATCTTGCCCATGTAATTGTAACTCCTCTCTATGGTATTCTCACAATAAAAAATTTTTTTAAAAAATGTGTCTCTGCTGGGCTCCAGTGGCTCATGCCTATATTCCTAGCTACTCAGGAGGCTGAGATCTGAGGATCATGTTTCAAAGCCAGCCCAGGTAGAAAAGTTTCTGTGAGAGACTCCTCTCTACAATTAACCACTCAAAAACCAGAAGTGGCTCTGTGGCTCAAAGTGGTAGAGCGCTAGCCCTGAGCAAAAGAGCTCAGGAACAGTGCTCAGACCCTGAGTTCAAGCCCTATGACTGACAAAAACAACTCATCTTTAAGTAGTTATACAAATGAGTTTTCATTTAACAAAGTAGTTTATGAACACAATATATCTTGATCAATGTCACCTCTTTCAACAATATTCCATGAGTTATTGAGATGTAATACCATGTAAATGAAGAGGAATATATAATTGAAATAAAACAACTTGTTTTATTTATTTTGGGTTTTCTGTGTTATTTTTTATTCTTTATGTTTATGGATTTTACATTGAACCATGGATTCTTATTCAAGAAAACGTGCACTGAGTTCCACTTGGAATTATTAGATGTCCTATTGGGAGTTAAATATGTAGTCACACTTGAAGATTTTGTCACAGTAATGCATGGTGATACAGCTATGGCCAGCACTTCTGTGATTGTAATTCTGGGGTAAGATGAGGAGAATGTTATTATCCAAAGCCATTACACATTTTGTGTGTGCATAAGATCTACTATACTATGTAATGTATGATGGCACTGACTAACAAAACATCAACCAAAATTCTTGTTTTACTTTGATATGGATATAATTATTGATTGTTTATATACAATGATGTTGTTGGCTGTGAGACTTGGGTTTTTTCTAAATAGTGAACAATTTGAAAAGAACATTTGTGTATATGCATAGAATCTCCTCTCAAGTGCAGTTTGATTTCTCAAAATTTAGAAGCTCTCTGAAATAAAAAAAAGAAAGAAATTGAAAAAATTGTAAGGACATAAAATAGGAAACCCACAGTTAACCCCAGCTTTTCAGAAAAAGCCAATAAAAGATGAAATGGTTTTAGTGGAATTTTTAAGGAATTTAGTGGAAATTTTAAGAAACCTGATAGGTGAGTCTTCTAAGTAGAAGTTACCTCCATGCTTATTTATTTATTTATTCATTCATTCATTCATTTTTTTCAATCTTGAGCTTGAATTCTATGCCTTAGCATTGTCCCTGAACTCTTCTTGCTCAAGGTTAGTGCTCTACCACTTTGAGACACAGTGGCACTTCTGGTTTTCTGGTGGCTAATTGGAGATAAAAGTCTCATGGACATTTTTGCTTGGGCTGGCCTTGAATTGTTATCTTTGGATCTCAGCCTCCTGAGTAGGTAGGATTACAGGCATGAGCCACCAGCACCCAGCTTCTTGCTTGTTGTAAAATCTTTCTCCCACCTCATCACACAAGCAGATTGTTGGTTGTGGAGCTTGAACTTTGGGCCTGGGCCCTGTCCCTGAGCGCTTCAGCTCTAGGCAAGCACTCTACCACTCCGGCCACAATGCCACTTCCAGTTTTCTGGTGGTTATTTGGAGACCAGAGTCTCACAGATTTTCCAGCTGAGGCTGCCTTTGAACCGTGATCCTCAGATCTCAGCCTCCTGAGTAATCTTAGGATTACAGGTGTGAGCCACTGGTACCCAGCTCCACAACTTTCATTGTTGAATCATAGGGAGTTCTTCTGAAAGTACACTATGCCTTTGATGAAATACACAGATGGGAAAAGAGAAGACACGACAGAGCAGGAGACAGCTAAGGAGAAATGATACAGCAGCAAGTCTTCCCTTTCACTGCCAAAAGTTATCAAGGAGGGAGCCTCTTTTACGCTTTTGTGTCTTTATAGGTTTCATGACTTGTAGTTATTCCATCTGTGAATATGCCACACAATCTCCGTGTTCAAAATTGAAGGCTCACGTATTCCACTGTACACTGAAAATTTGTACTTTACCTTAAAATTGATTTTATCCGAACTTTTCTGAGACAGCAGATGCTTCCAAGTACCAATGAGATCAGGCTGAATTTTTTCTTTCTATTAATTCAATAAATACTAATGGAGTGCTTTCTGTTTACATGTTAGTGATGTTGAATGTTCGATGAGACAGCACAGGACAGAAGCTAAAAGCTTGGCAGTCAAGGTTATGGCCAAAGAGTTGGAGGAAAGAGCACAGCAATGATAGTACAGTGAGATCAATGTTGTAGTGGGAATTGGCTCCTGGGCTTGAATGAGAGGACTCCCTTAGCATGATTATGGAAGACTTTCTACATGAAGTAATGTTAGGATGCAACAGATAAGAACATTTCATTTAGGAAACAAACAACTTGACCAAAACACATCAGTGGAAAGACGTGTGTGTATGTGTGTGTGTGTGAGAGAGAGAGAGAGAGAGAGAGAGTCAGAGACAGAGACAGAGACAGACACAGAGAGAGAGAGTTACTTCAGTGACTTGAGCCATTCTGGAAGATATGAGAGAGAAATTAAGCATGTTGATGCAGGGGTAAAATCAGATAAAATCAGGTGGAGCTTTTAAATCACATTTAAGCTTTTGCCTGGTAGAAATAAGGAGGTCCTGATAGAGTTTCAGCAGAGGGCATCTTGATAGAACTAAACATTTGAGAGATTACTAGCAAATTAATGTGAGGAAGGGAAGACTCAGCCCACAATATCTGTTCATAATAGTCGGGATTGTCTATGATGCAGTCTTGTTTCTTCACCCTCTTAGTAGAGGAGCTCTAATATCATTACTTCGGTTGAAAAACATGAGGAAAGCAGTGCAAGAGGAGACTTGGAAAGGACCTATCACATTTAATTTCTCAGTTTCTTTAAGATTTCTGAGATGTAAGTGGCTCACATCTATATACTCAGCTATTCAAGAGGCATAAGAAGATCAGCCAGGGCAAAAATGTGGGATGCTGTCCACAAATTAAAGCAGAAAGGGTGGAAGCATGGCTCAGGTGGTAGACAAAAAGACTTAGTTCCAACCCCAAGACTGCAATTTGTACATAACTATGTATATATATATATATATATATATATATATATATATATATGCACACATATGTTCTGAGGCTCCTTGCAGAACTAGAAAATGTCTGTCAATTTTTATTGCAGTCAATTGTAGACAAATACAATTTTGCTAAGAGAAATTATAAGTACTAACAACAATATAGCTATTCAGTTCTATATAAATGCTATGCAATAACTCTGATGTGTGT